GGCAGAGGTCGAGTTACTTGTCAAGTTACGTATAAATGAAAACAGCTTCGGATTGGCAGCCGAAGCATATCGAAGATTGACTAGACAGTGATGGTCTGTATTTTGTTACAAATCATTAACCTCGAGCTCAACGTGTTTGTCATAAACAAGCATGGATTAACGAAGTTTACATACTAAATTTAGGTCAAATTTAGATTTTAGAAAGGTAAATCAAAAAACCGCAGCACCCCAAACAATTTCATTTCACCGAACACCGCAGCGTGAAAAACACAAACATCGCACACCGTAGGGTTTGAGGTCACCGCAACACCACAAGTTGAGATTTTATTCACCGCATCACCGCATTAAAAAAACATCAACGCCGCAACACCGCAAATCCCCATGCCCCCTTAGTAAATTATTTGACATAACTTTATAAGTACGTTCCGTGCTCTTCGTCGTTGAATTAATTGAAGAGATTTCTTACCTTCACTCAGGCTGACGACGGCTGATTAACGAGCCAAAAAGAATATCACATGGACAGAAACAGTGGTAAGTCCAGACTATGAACTTGGGTAAGTCCCCAGAGGTGCTTTATAGGGGGATGCTCAGCTCTGAGTTCCAAACCCTTACCCTTTTGTATACCACTTTTGATAAAAAAAGATACCTCTTTTATATACCTTCCATCGAAAATGGTACCTCTTTCTTATATCTAGAATAAAAACACTGCTTCACCGTTTTCTACCCGTGAAATAAAGTTGAGCAACGACATCCCTAGATAAACAGATCCCCAGTGTTATCCAGTTCTCGTTGTGGTGAAAGTCGAAAGATACTTTGGACATCAGCCACACGAACGGCAATTGCCTTTTTTTGCAGCATTCATAACGTCTTTTCGATGACTTTTAACGAACGGCAACGTAACCACTAAACCTTTTCTATACCTCAGCTCGTGATATTCCTACCCGTATAAATACCTCTAGCCTGAAAAAGGAGAAGGTACCCTTTTCTGGTGAAGCGTTCCCTCCATATAGTCCAATATAAGAAGACCCCCCACTACCACCCTTCTCAAGTGCTTTCCTTGAATCACTTATATTTACCCATTTTATTTTTATTTTTGAAGCTGTTTGTGCAAATGTTGAAGTTTTTCGCCAAGAAGGCAATGAGTACAATTGTTTTCGTGCGCTAAAATTTCTGTTTAAAAAAAATAGGCTCTTATTTTCGGTTTGGCAACATTGAAAAGTGTCAATTGGATTTTTAAGCATAAAAAACAAAGGGTGAATATGTAGATTTATATACCTTTTCATTTACGTGTAGATAAACCTTTCCACAGTCATCTAGACTTGTATTGTTTGCAAGTGGCGTTTTCTATAGTCTTTTTTCTTGGAACTAATAATTTGGTTCATCGTCACAATCATCATTTTACGTTCACTGACTTTAGTTACCCCAGCCGTTATCAAAAACTAACGCGAACTTTTCGTTTGCTCTCTCGCAGACTCAAGTTCGGATGAAGGTAAGCACCACCGCCGGTAACAGAACCGTTAACATGAGAGTTTGTATAGAGGTGAAGTTGCAGTTCAATACCTAATCCTCTTCGCTTTCTGATTCTTAAACTATTTTTTCAACTGAATTTCACATTGATTGCACTTTGATAACCTGTGGTCACGAGTTAAGTTCATTTTAAATTAAAATTGCCAAAACTGATTATTGTTTTTCTGTATTTCCAAACAACGGAACGGTGGAAGCGTTAAAAAGCGAATTGCCCACCGCACGAATAGGAATTCGAGATGGTTTACTGTGCCTGTTCTGTTCGAAAGTAGATCTTTCCTTGACCGCAATTTTAAGAGAGTTAATAGAAATGATTGGTAGAGAAAAACTGTTACACTCAGCTCTTTTTACAAGTAGAGCCTCAAGGTATTATGGTAGGTGGATTGACAGTGTTCGGAGATCACGCTCTTATACGCTGGCGTTTTGAAAGAAAACCTCATCAACCTATACATTTTCTGAAAGCTTAATAGTTACAGAATACAATCATATCTTTGAAATTTTCCAAAATGTTATTGTCGCAGTGAAATTAAAAGAAATACCCAGAAACGCTGCTTCGCTTAAGCTGGTTCGCTTCCGCGCGTGAATTATCAGAGCGGCGCAATTAACATCAGAAATGTTTTCTCACACATCACCCTCAAAAAGGGTGTCTGCGATTTTCCAGATGTGGGTTGGTTTTTTTCTACACCCTCCTAAAGTTTGATATTTTCAATGCGGACGTTTCCTTCTACTAAAGAGGCCATAACTTTCAAACGGAAGCGAAATTAAACAAAGCCCGAGACACTTTTTCGAAGGAGGCATCCTGGAACATACCTGTCGATTTTCAGCCAATTCCGTCGGAAGACGTCCGTAAACGAACTAAAAATGTTCATCGTTATATGCAGTTTTATTTTATTGAGAAAAAGACGAAAAACCTTTTATGAGATTGGTATGATTAGGTGTTAAAAATTCCCTCCACACTAACAGATGTCGGCATGGGTCAGTGTACCACAACAATGGCTTATGACAACTTGAAATAAACAGGCCTCCACAATTTCCCGTCGCATTGAAATCGTCCGAGAAGCGAGAAAATAATAAGTCGAGCTTTATACAGGTTTGTATTTAAACTGCCGTGAGCTCTTTAACTTAGAAGATTTTGTCGGCGGCATTGGTATTATGTTGCTCAAGTTTAGGCTTCTTCGTTCCCCGGACAGTTTTTTGAAACCATGCCTCGTGAAGACAAAAGAGGAAATCTCGAAGTCCACGTCTGCGCTTGACTCTCTCGTTGTGGAAATTTCGGAATCGCGTCCGTTCTCCAGCAATTCCGTGCCACTAGTACTTGTTGTAGTTTGTCCTTCAGCTTCATTGGTGGGACTAGTGACACTAGTGTCTTCGAGTTCCTTTAACCACTCTTCTTGGTTACAGTGCTACCGTGGGTCGCTCAGCGCCAACGGATCTTGTTCGACGTTGAACCTGTGGGTTCCACCAGATTTTCGTCTCTCCGGCTTCTTGGAAGACGAAAATGGGCAAGAAGTTTTCTTGGGTTTTCGTCCTAATGCTTGCGATGAAAGAACCAGATCAAGAACAGTTCGCGTGCACAAATGAAATATCACACCGCAGTTCGCTTTACACGTGACAACTGGCGGTGAATTTTATTTAGAGGTGTCACGTCAACGCGCCGTACGGGGTTTATGAGATTCAAAAATAATTTTCCTCTTTAACTTAAAATGTAAAAAAGCTTTTTTTACCATTCTTTTTGCAAAATATTTATTCCAGTCCTTTCAATTTGAACAGCGAAAAAATATTTTTCACATTTTTCGTAAAAATTCACCTACCATGAAACCTTAACAACAACAACAACAGCAACAGCACTTTATTTCACATTTCTTCGTACCTCATATTAATTAGCTCTTTATTAACCGAGCTGGAGGTCTGTATGGGAGAATCTTGACCGAGGTCGTGAGTACAGACCGAACGCGGTGAGGTCTGTACACACGACCGAGGTCAAGATTCTCCCATACAGACCGACTTAACTCGATTAATAAGATGTTTATTTTATGGCAGGTAGGTAGGTAGGTAAAACTTTATTTATGCAGGGTGGCCCATTCAGCACAGTGGCTGGTATCCAGAGGGGCCCTGCTAAATACAATTTCTAAAAATA